CTTTAAGAGAAGATAATGGTACAGAGATGTGTTATATCACCATGGGAGAACATGAAAGTTAGCAAGTGTACTCCCTTTCTCTTCAAGAAGTAAAAACTCTGAATTCAGTTATCTCGAAATCCTCCCCTTATCTTTCGAGAATTGTATATCCAGAAATAAAAGGCTCAAAATCAATAAATTATTAAAATTGAGAAGTCAATAGTATATTTTATGGTTTCATCTAAAATAGAAGTTACATAAGAATCAAGAAGTGCTTAAATATTGCAGTCTACATCTCATGAGAAAAACAATTATTTCAAAAGTTGGAAATAACTGAACAAAAATAAGATACATTAATAGCATATATCAGACAAAGCAGGCATCACAGAGAGAAAATAGCATACCTGTAAGAGAGTAATAACATTAGCACAAGGGAAACTGTATGAAGACAGAGCTGCTCTGTTGAACATAACCAGAAGTATTGCGAAATACATCCAGAGCAGCAAAGGTCAAATCTTGAATGAATAAAAAAGCTAATTAATGTTCAACAATAAGGGAAATACTTAAGCAGGTGCACAAATTTTTCTCAAAGAAGTCACATAAATAATTCCCTACCCACGCCTAAAATACAATAAGGGAATAAATCAATTTGTGCACCTGACAACTCTGTCCCCAGTAGAAGAATTGGTAGCAACAGAATACACGCCAGAAGCTCCACCATGAGCCCTAACCAAAAAAAAGGGGGTCCAATTTCAACACAAAATCTAACAAACATGAGACATATGCCCTTAACCAAACGAAATACAAATCATGAAAGGTTATCTGCTTATCGCAAAAGAGCGGCAAGAGAAGTTCTTCGGGAACAAACTAAAGACTGTGTATTCTAACTCAATGTAGTTGAATTGAGGAGTAAATTAAAACTTGTCCAGACTTAGGGTAAACTTACAAACACTGTCGATTTGGGGGTTATATAATTAAAAGGGCCTTTTGCACTTCAATACCCCAAAAGCTGCCAAATTGAGATTAGTTTGACAATTTGATACATCAAAGTTCCTCACTTTCTTCAAACTCAAAAAAAACATCAATGTGCTAAGAAATTTTTTTTCTCATTCACTTTCCTTTGTTGATATCCTTTAACAAAATCAACGTCAACTATTTTCTACTATGGGGGTATCAATTTATTAAAATAGAACTTCAGGGTATCACCAAAATTCAAAAAAAGATTAAACTTTGGGGTGTTAAAGTGCAATTAGCCATCAAAATACCATTAAGAAAATCAAAGCAATTGAGAAGAGGATTGAGTACCAAGTCGAGGACAGTGTTCGATGCTGCACCGTATCCCAAACTCGAAGTTCTCCATCGGCAGCGCTGGAAGCAACAAAGTAGGGTTTTTCTGAGGGGGGGAAAAAGAAGAAGAAAGAGAGACTGAATCGAATTGAGATTGGATTAGATAATGATTTACCCAGTGAAGAGAAGAGGTCTCGAGGAGTGGAAGCATGCGTCCATGAAGGAGGCGCGGTGACCACGGAGGATGGTGATCGGATTCGGTGGAGGCCATTTTGCGCTCTTTTTTTTTTTGATTGCAGAAATCCTAAAAAAAAATGGAAGGTGGAAGATGGTTTCTCTAGTTGAGGAAGATTTTCACTATGAAAACTGATCACCGTGAACACCCAGATAGAAAAATGACAATCACCACGAAATATCAAAGAGAGAAATAAATTAAAGAACCGATACTTTTATTGTATATTCCAAGAGTCCCCTGCTTCAAAACCCTGACGCTAAAGATCGAAACCCTTCGAAACTAAGAAATCAGTTTATTATATGAAAAAGTCGAAATTTTGAAGAGGACATTTGTACCCCGTGCCAAGCACGGCCCTTGTCTCTTTTTTACCATTGCACTTGGAACATCCCTCATCTTAGTTTTAATTACATATTATTATTGTACAATTAAAATTATAAAGCATATTAAACAATATGTTTAAACAAATTTCTTTGCATATAAAATAAAGCTATTGTTAAATAGATCAATATGAAATGCAGAGGACATTTGTGTTTAAGCTAAACTCATGCCAATTGTAAGCTAAACACTTAGCAAAAACAACACCCAGTTGAAAGTTAAATATGAGTAGGAATGTTCTCATATAAATCTGAGGGCGTTTTTTAATAGAGAATGCAAAATATATCATTTAACTTTTTGGAACATGAATATATAAATTTCCTATTGAGTATCACACG